GGAAATCCCTTCCTTCCTGGACTTACATTCTACTTATTAACAGAACATCCTTTTAGCTGATGGACACATGTGTATGCATCTTTTTTATGAACAAAGTTCTGGTGTTCTTTCTCTGTTTTTTTGTTTGTTTGTTTGTTTTTTCAATTGCTGGGGTAATTTCACAGTGGCTGGGTGACTTTTCTCAATTTCCTATGAATGAGTTCCAAAGAAGGAGAAGATTTTTACTAATTTATTTAGAATATGACTGAAAGCAAACAGTGTTTCAGTGTTAGGCACTGACTGAGCATTGGGTGACAACGACAAACAAGAAATGGTCTCCTTTCTTCAGGGGATCACAAACTAGTGAGAGAGTCAGATATACACATAAATGACTCTAATCAAGACTAACTTTGAGGGGTGCCTAGATGGTGCAGTTGGTTAAGCATCTGACTCTTGGTTTTGGCTCAGGTTCTGATCTCAGGGTCATAAGATCAAACCCCGTGTTGGGCTCAGCACAGAGTCTGCTGTCTGCCCCTCCTGCTTGTGCTCTCTCTCTCAAATAAATCTTTAAAAGAAAAAGACTAACTTTGATAAATATAATAAAAGAACAAATAAGCAGGAGAAAGAAAAGTGCCTTGGGCAGAGGACAAAAGGAGAGGAAAAATCAAGAATGAGAACAAAAAGAGTAAAGAGAGAGGGAAGAGTAGAAATAAGGAAAGGGCATGTTTGCTATTCAGTGGAATTCTTGATATTTTGTGACTGCAACAGGGTTTGTAAATTTTATAGTTGGAGACAGGGGGGAAGCAGATAATGTTTTAGTATTTTTTTTTTTAAGATTTTATTTATTATTTGACAGAGAGAGACACAGCGAGAGAGGGAACACAAGCAGGGGGAGTGGGAGAGGGAGAAGCAGGCTTCCCGCAGAGCAGGGAGCCCGATGCGGGGCTCGATCCCAGGACCCTGGGACCATGACCTGAGCTGAAGGCAGACGCTTAATGACCGAGCCACCCAGGTGCCCCTATAATGTTTTAGTTTTGCTGAAATAAACTTTCTAGGCCCAAGATGAAGTTGCTCCTACCTGGGGTGCCACATCAGTAAACTGAATACGATTTTTGTATCCCTGTAAATTCTGTTTGATCAAAAACGCAGTATATCCAGTTAGCCAGTCCCCAAATGCCAAGCCAACTCTATACTTCTTTCCTCCTTCCTTCTCACCCCAAATAAGATTAAATATGTGGCCTCAGCCAATCAGATATTTTCATTTTTTCTCTTCTTTGTTCTTAGTCTTTAACCTATAAAAGTTTCCTGCCTTCTGCCCCATACTGAACAGACAATATCTAATTAGTTATAATCAACAAGCAATATGTTTTCTTCTCCATACCCTTCTCATCACACACAGACAGAAGACAACATAGGGTCTTAATTTTTATATATAATTATAATGTGAAGAATACTGTGGTAAAGTATTTTTTAAATGTGTGTGTGTGCATTTGATTTCAGTAGACATAAATGAAAAACTATAGTTATTTGAGTTATGGGATAACATATCTATAAACTGTATGGATGTAATTTTGAAACAGCTAGAACTAGAGATTATCTTACTAGACCTTTTTTTTTTTTTTTTTTTACAGATGAAGAAACAGGACTAAGAAAATTAAGATCTGAGCCAAAATTGAGTTTTTGAACACCCAGGGCAGGGCCTTTTTCTAATACTACACATTCCCTGAGAAAAGGTCACTGCTAACAACAGTATGTTGTTTGACCTCAAATATTTGTAGACACTTCACATTCTAAGCAGCTTAACTTCTTTCCTGATTTACAGAATAATGCTCCTAAGGAGAACATAATAAAACAGCATGAATTCCTGAAAGAATGGTGTAAATATTGATCATTTGTGGACTAATTATGAGTTAGCAATACAGAGTAACTTTGATTAAAAGGAAATGGAAGGTGTAAAATGCCATAAATTGAAGACTGAGGCACCAATATTAAAGACTGAAGAGAACATGAATATTATAATGAGCCTAGGCTTAAAATTCTTTCGCAGTTCCCTGAGCACGGAAGTACCTTAGTTAATGGTGCACCACCAGACCCCCTTGGATCACCTTTATCTGCTCCTGCTCCTACCGCGCCCCCCAGCGTTTGTTTTTTTTTTTTTGACTGTAAAGGCTTGTATCTGGCACCTTCTTTATAGACCTAAACGTGGGTTACTAAAGCCACTGCAGAGAACCAGAAGTGCTGCTGATTTTTTTTTTTTTTTTTCTGTACACCTCATTAGGACTTGTGGCCAATGATTGCCTGGAGCCAGAGTATGGTAGCTCAGCTTCTTGATCTCCATAGGATGAATTCTGAGATGTAATTTATACTCCAGAGCTCCCGTTGGTCACTCTGAGTTTGACTGGCATGTTTCTTCATAGTCCTGCTTCCCCATTCTCTATTGGTTTTCCTAGGAGCTTTCTTAATTAATCACTTGGTTACAAAATCCTGTCTCAGGGTTTGCTTATGGGCAACTAGACAGAAGACAAAAAGCAAAGCTATTTTGGATCCATCCATCCATCCATCCATCCATATTTGTCTATGCTTGCTACTTCCCTCTCTCTGCCTTGCGTCCATCCATGTACTTCAGTCCCCCATCCCACTCCCACTCAACAAGCAACAATGGAGACAGCATGGTGTACCCTCTGTTCCATTCCATATTTCTCTATATTTATATAATCATATATACATATAGAGTGGGATATTTGCATTCTGAAATTAGGATCATATATTTGTACATATATTTCTTTGTATCTTGCTTTTCCTACTGAACAGTATTTAGGTTCCTGATAAAGAAGGAAATTAGCACTTTAAGAGTTCTATTGTAAGGTGTTAGTTATAAATTTTATAAAAATATTTTCTTGAAAGCAGAAATCATGTTCTAGATGCCTATAGGTAAAATGCACAGTTACAGTATGAAGACATAGTTGGAAACAGTTTTAATCCTATCAATCATTTTATGCTCGCTCTGAAAGGTTTGACATTCTAACATCGTTGATTAGTTGCCTATACATTATGTATTCACGTATGGAAAGAAAGATTTTTATTTAATTTGTATACAATTCCCATGCTGTTGTATACTGGTTCTATGTTATATGCCAAATATTTCCTTAATTCTTTCTTAAATTTAATGATTTCTAATACTGATTCAGTGTGCTTTTCATCTTTAGGTCTGTTTATAAAATTAATCTTTACAACCCACTTGAAGAGTTGATACCTTCATTTCCCTTTTGTAAATGTGAAGTGTGAAACATAGGGAGATTAATTGAGTTTTCTTGGCCACAGGCATAATGAGAGTTACAATCAGAACATGAAATAGGCATCCTTGGCTTCCAACTCCAGATTTACTACATGTGTAGTAACTCCATTAGCAAAATTGCTATTTTCTTACAAAATAGACTCCTTCATAACATTACCTATTCTATCATTAAAACATGGAAATTATGTCAATTACCATCTTTCAGATATTATTGATTTCTAAAATTTTGATTGGATGAATATGGTTCCCTTTTTACAGAATCTGTATGATTTGTCCTTAATTGGAAATATTGCAAGTTATCTTCATCTTCAAACATATGAAGTATAAATGACTATAAAATGAGAATGATTTTGTGTACAAAATACAGCCTTCATAAAACATGGAGGAGTATTCTCATTCTGAAAAGTTGCTTATATATGTGCCCATTGCTTTTTTAAATAATGAGAATTTTTGCATACCTAAAGATCTATCTAAACGAGTAGACAGAAAATATGTGTATTTTGTGACAGCATGCTAGAGGTTGTAACATTTGAAAGGATAGCTCAACAAGATTTCTGGCACATGCTGGCCTGGCTAATGTGCAGAATCTGTAATCCAATTAAAACTCAGTCAATTTCCCCTTTCTTAGACTATGGAGTTATTCCTGTTGGTTCATAATGACAGTTTTCATTGACTACATAATGTGAAATTACTAGAGTGTCAAAAATGGATACAGGCAGGCTATTGAGTTACCTCTCCTTTTGCAAACTTATATTTGCTCAGAAGCAATAGAATAGAAAAAGAGAGACTTCCATTTCTGTTCTTGTCTTGTATTTCTTCAGAGGAAATAAAAATTTATTTGTGATGTTCCTTTGCTTCTAGTCAGTTACAGAAATGCAAGAAGTTCCTTCTTACTGTATTATACAACTAGAAATTGTGTATGATTTTTACTTTATTTTTTTAAATTTAATGTTCCCTTTATCAATATTCCAGAGCAGTAGCAGCACAATGAGACATACCAGAATTGTTATGTGGTCTGTGATAATGTCTACAGGCACAATATCATAATAGTGAGGAATAAGGGGAAAAAACATAAAGAAGAATGTGGATACAATAAAGATAAGGAAGTATATAATTTGGGAAAAATATAGTAGTTGAGAACAATTTTAAAATACTAAAAATGAAAATTAAGATTAAGTTGATTTATTAACCAGATATATCTTGCTAGCTTCTTAAAAAAGTAAAACAGCTGACCTAAATGTAAAGAAAAATTTTAAACCACCAGCTATTTCCATTTATCCCTTAAATCATCCTTTCCAAATTATAGTGAACTGTTAACTTTAAACTCATTGGCAAAAAATATGGGCTACACAAACTCTCTCTTTAGGTTATAGCAATTCCATTTTACCATGTCTTCTGAGTGAATTGTAGAAACAATGTTATGTCAACTAAACTGTAAACTAAAGGAGTTACTGCCTCTTACTATATTTGAAAAATCCCTATAGTAAGTCATGACAGAAATGGACATCTTGTGTCTTCTACTTTATAATCTGACATAAAACAAAACAAATTAATTAAGAAAGTATAAGCATAATAGTAAATTAGAGAGTTTTCAAAGAAATAGTAGGTATGAAGCTAGGTCAAAAAACAGGTTTTAAAGTAAAATAATATAACAACATGCTCAATATATACATATATACATATATATGTATATGTACTTTCTTAGGAAGCTCCAAATAAGACCTACTTTCTCATAGTACTTGATCTCGTAGTCCAGAATGGCTCCATTGGAAAAAGCAGGTGCTTGCCATGATAGGGCAATGCTATTTTGGGATGCCCAGTCCTTCCTTACCACACCTATCAGGGAAGGTGCTGAAAGGAAAGAAAATAACTAAGAATTAATTGTCAGGAATCATTCTCCAGAATCCTTTCTTTAATATTTTGTCTTCCAAGGAATATATAATTCTTGTTGAAGAGGATAGCAATTGTTGATATCAGATTAATAAGAAAGCCTTAAGATCTACTCTATTTAATCCAAATAAAGTATTAAAATATATTTAGAAACATTACTAGGGCACATAGGAAAAACTCAAATAGTCCAAGAATGAGAGCCAGAACTCATCATCTTAGTCTTTGTTAGTGGAGGACATTTTCCTTTAAACTGGCTTTGGTTTTAGGTTATGACATGAAGTACAATACACTTGGATCTTATATTTTATCAAATCTAAGTCTGCTATAGAAAAATACTCTGCAATTACACAAGATCATTTATAGGCTTTTCTTTCTCCTCAAGACTTAGTACTTTATAAAGTCTTAGTACTTTATAAAAGTTTAAATCACAAACTTCTTAACTATAAATTATTGCATATCAACATGAGAATTATTTCTTTTGCATGGTTTCTGTGACATTTGAATAAAATTGAAATATTTAACTTCTGAAGTTCATTTTCAGCATCATGTCTTTTTTCCCCTATATAACATTGTTTTAACAACCTAATCCTACCAAATCTTGCATTAAACTTCCAAAATTTCCCTAGAATGTATATATCATAGATTCTTTTCTCTAACAAAATCCCCCTCACTTTAAAGTATTGCTAATTTTTAAATACAACAGGTTTTTACATAGAAATTAAAATTCATTCATAAAAGGAGAAATATAAATGAAATATACTGAGATACCATTTCTTACCAATCAGATTGGCAAAAATCCAAAAATCTGACAGCAGGCTCTGCTGACTAGGCTATAGGGAAAAGCACTTTAATACATTGTTGGTGGGAATGCAAAATAGTACAACTTTCATGAAGGGAAATTCGACAATTTAAGGTAAATTATATGTTCATTTACACTTGGGCTTTTTGAAATCTATCCCAAAGATACACTGAACAAACACAAAGTGACATATTTACAAGACTACTCACTGAGATTTATTTGTAAAGATTGGAAACAATTTAACTGTTTGTCAAAAAGGGACTAGTTGAAAAACTACGCTACATCCACCAGAAAATTATGGCTATCTATAAAAACTATAATGGAGTTTTTTCAGGATATATTTTTAAGTGAAAAAAATAAGGTGGGAAGAATGTATAAAAAACAATATAAGGATAAACCCAAGAATAGAAAAAATGATAAAAATGGATACCCTCAGGGGTGGGAGACAATAGGATGGACACTATAAAGTTGGATGATAGAAGTCTCAGAATTTGCCTTCCCTTGAAATTTACTTTGGAACCCTGTAAATAGTTAAATGTTTAGAAAACAAATTAGCCCTTAAAAAAGTAATATCAAAAAAAGCAAAGAAAAACGAAAGAAACCTGTGTATTGAGGCACAGCCTCCAAGAGTAACTACTTAAAACTCTAAAACATAGTAACTTAGCATACATCCTAATGAGATAATTTTAAGGATTAAAAAAAAACAACCTGTAAAATTATTAAACTGTTTTTAGTAATGATATTGTTGTTGGTTATATTAGTATAGTAATTCTGAATGTGCATGTTGAGGGTTAAAGCAAATGAGTAATTGTTTTGGTGTTATTGAGGACTAGGTCAGTTTGTTTTTTCTATGGGAAATGAGGATATAGATATCAAATCAATGGAGGTATGTAAAAACTCTGTAATGATAAACTCAAATTAGAATTATCATTATGAACTCATAATGTCTTTCCAACTCATTTCCAGAAATCTATTCAAATAAACCAATTGCAGGTGAGAATAGAATTTGAAAAAACTGATTCTCTATGATTATAATACATATATTTTAAATTTCTAAGAAAGACTCAGGTATTAAGTTTGGCATTTTATTTCTAAATGTTCCCTTTATATCGTGGGGATAAAGTATTTCTTAAATTTATGAGAATGACAAGTTTGGTTCTCCTAAGGAAATAAGTACTTTAGAAATTATATTTAAAACTCTTTCTAGCTGTTCAATGAAAGTATTATTGTTGTACTAAAATATATTCCTAAAAATGAGTGATAATTACAGAAGTTGCTAAAAGATAAAAGAGTTTGTTCTGTAAGCTAAAACGGAAATAGGTAGCATGGTAAATATGAAAAATGCTTAGATGATACACTATTTAAATTGAGTCATATTCACTACTAAGAAACTACCATTAATAAATTTATCCCTGTTGGAAATTGCATTATTGTTTTTGAATTATAGTACAATAATGTATAAAATGGAGTTTTATGAAAAAATTGTTAACTTTAAGGTCAATCATACAAATTAGAAGTTGCCTTAAATATATCAATTCATTGCAATTTTTGAAAACGTCCTTTTCATTTATACAATCTTATGGTTAATTTTCAGTTTAATGTTCAATGTCATAAAACAATAATATTACCAGTATACTACATTTTGCCACATAATTATTTAGCACTCAAGGTCAAATAGTACAATCCGTGCAAAACTGATAATAAATTCAATTATGGCAGCATATTAGAATGACTATTGATTAACATATAGGTACTATCTTTTCTATTTCTAATTCTCCACTGTTTAATTAAAAGTAAAGGTACAGATTTTATGAGTCCTCCTCCATAAAATAGAAATAAAGAAAATCCATTCCTTAACTACCCTGAGAAGTACTACTAACTACACCATTCTCTAACTAATCTAGTTACAGATTCTTCACTTGGACTTCGGGGTCCAAGAACTATATAAACTCTAAAATCTTTTCACTTTTGCACATCCCTTTCATATGTAAATATCTATATTTTACATGGTTGTAAAATATACATAATTTTAGATAATTCTGTTTTTTAACCATATATTTGAAATCCTATTCCATATTTTGATATAGTCTCCATAATTATTACTTTGATGGATAAAATATTCAATTATGTATATGCTTTATCAGATCATTCCTCTAATGTTGAAGTTTCCAATATTATCCTGTTAGAGTTTTCACACTTTATGCCCACATTTTTTATTTTGTTAAATTATTTCACAGAGAAAAGTGCTTTACATAATTTGAATTTCCTGAGCCATACTGTTTATTAATATATTGCTTTTGAAATGAGCTGCACAATATACACCAGTCACACATTTTAAACAGTTAATGAGTTAAAGGAGAGGATGTGGCAATTTATAGGTCAATATATACCCCAAATGCTGCATTTTCTATTTTCTGAGAAGGCTAGCACCATATGGAATTTTATTTTAAAATATAGCTTCAATACATGAAACCTCAAGAATTTGTTTCGAATATACTTAGTAAATTTGTTTTATTAATAACCCAAGTTTATGTTACATCTGAATTTGGCCTATTGTGACAACACTGTAGTACCAACAAACTTAAAAGGGAAAACACATTTATTCCTCCACATGAGAAAAACTAATTTTAGAACATAGAAGGCAACTATTGATTTTTACTTCTGATTCTAAAAAGTCAGAGAAAGAAATAAATAGGGAAATAATATCTTCTGGAGTCTGTCAGATCAGAGACTAACTGAAAGACTTGAAGGCTCAAGCAATGTTTCCTGAGTACAGAATTGTATATTCAGTATAGTTGTTAGTAGAATTGTATTTCTGATATACATCCTTTCTTAAGCCTTCAAAATCTTAGCTTTGACCTTTAAAATAAATGATTATTGAATAGATTACCACATTTTTGAAAATGGTTTTAATACAAACCTTTCTGATTACTACATTTTCTGAATCTCAAATAGTTTACCAAGAATTACATGGCAAAATAAGAAAAGTACATAGTGGAGTTAGTGAACAAAGGAGATTTTATCCACATTAGGATGAGTGTTATTTTCTAATGCTTATATGGAAATACCTGAAAGAATAGTAAATTATTCTAGTTAGTTATTTTGCACCTAATTACGATTTAATTGTGTGTGTGGTTAGGTGAAAAAGAGAGAGAGAGGGAGAACAAGAGGACACTCCTATGCACACGTGTTTGTGACAATGAAAATCTTAACAGTGAATGTTAAATAGTAGAATCTTAGTACTAGGATAGACCTTGTAAGTCATTTTTTTTATATTTTAATTTTGTTTTCGGATTATTTATTGTTACTGTAAAATAAAACTATAATAGATTTTTCTTTTTTGATTTTTTTATTAACATATAATGTATTATTTGTTTTAGGGGTACAGGTCTGTGATTCATCAGTCTTACACAATTCACAGCGCTCACCATAGCACATACCCTCCCCAGTGTTTATCACCCAGCCACCCCATCCGTCCTCCCCCCTTCACTCCAGCAACCTTCAGTTTATTTCCTGAGATTAAGAGTCTCTTATGGTTTGTCTCCCTTGTAAGTCATTTCATACATTTTTTTCAACAATGCAGAAAATCCCTCAGCATATACTTGTTTGCTGATTATCCACTTCTTGCTTCAACTGTTGCTGTAAAAAGTACACCACTTCATAAGACTACCTGTTTCTTTTTGAAAATCTCTAATTGTTAAAAAATTCTTACATGGAATCATTGTTTTCTTCCCGTAACTTCAACCTCGCCCCCAGTTCTTACCTTTAGCGTTAATAGAAGTAAAGCTTCACTTTTGCTCATCTATCATACTCTTTCTTCTCTCCTTTCTTTTCTCTCTTCTTCCTATCCCTTTTCCTTCCCCTTTCCTTCCCTCCTCTCTTCTTTCTTCATTTCCTTTTTTAGTGATTTTCACTGTCTCTCTCTTTTCTTTATTCTTTTCCTTTCTTTTCTTCCCTGTGCTTCTTTTTAGAGAGATGTGTGTGTGTGTGCGTGTGCGTGTTAGGGGAAATATAATCAATGACATAATGGAATGTAAATAACATAATAAATAAATAATATACACCAGAAAGTGCAAATCAGAACAGACGTTTAAGACTATGATTTTCCCTTTTTCTTTGCTAATGAACGAATGGGTATAGTTGCAAAGCAAGAACAGGAACA